GCAGCACAAGTTCGATTCCCCGCTGGCCGGGGAGAAACCCAAATGTAGGGACAGACCTCTCCTGTCTCGCCCGCTGCTCCCCTCAGCAGTGTACTTCGATCCGTCTGCCTGTTCTGTTCCCTACTCTGCCTCTGGTGAATCCTCTCCCCGTTTTGCATCTCTGGCCTATACCCCAATTCTTGTATTAAAAATAAATAAATCTTTAAAAAAAAAAAGAAGAAAGAAAACCACTGGTAAAGCCCAGAGTATCCCCACAGCTGCAGCTGTGGAGATTTCATACACACACCACTCTCTCTCTCACACACACAGGCGGTTATAACCATCCCTCCCTTTCTGGGAGTTCCAAGGTTCCCTACCAAAATCAACTGAGACCCTTGAGGTCTCCCTGAGAGGTGATCAGCCTCTCCTTCCACTACTCTGGGCAGGCCACATGGGAACCATGGTCCTGGTACCTTACCTGATCCACGGAGGCATCAAGCCCGGCCTCACTCAGCCCTTTGGAAGTCAGGCCTGGAAGGCGTCGTAGGGGCTAGGCAGGAGCAACAAAGTCAGAGACCACCGAAAGTCCTCAGAGGAGAGCGTTTCCCCTTCCTTGGCTTTCCTTCCCCTCCCCACCTCTGCGTCCTCCTAAGCAGATGGCTCAAAGGGCCAATGTGCTTATTTTTCCCGGTCAGGGAACCAAAAAATATTGCAGAAATAAATTCTAGCCTTTTACCCAGGCAAGGGAAGAACAAGCAGTACTTCAGGAATGGTGAGGTCAGGAGAAGGTTTATTATTCATGCATGAGGTCTCAGACCTGGGCAGTCCTTAAGATCTGAGCACCAGTCTAGGGACAAAGGGTTTCTTTTATACATAACCATCTTACATTGATAACATCAGTCAGTAAGCACAAAAGTTTGTGACAAAAGGCAGGTATTCAAGGATGCTGGGAGATCAATTAGCCTGGCGGCTGTCAGGCCTTGTTAAAATGTAACCTCCTTTAGGTAATCTCATCTAGATAGGCTTTAGAGAGGCTAAACTTGTTGTTTACATTTACTTTGCATTACATACTGCACCAGACCTATTACTCTTTTAGCAGGAAACAGGAAAGATTTCATTTGATTAGCGGTTCCCTTTCAATAAGAAACCAACAGAACATCTTGACTGGCTCATTGGGACTACATGAATCTCTCTGCTGAATTAAGCTTGCAGGACAGGGTCAAAGGAACCAGATCACCCTTGCTGGTGTCCACTCCCTGCGTAGACTCGAGCCAGGCCCTGCTACCTGGATGTGGGAAGTCCTAACACTAGGTTCACCCTGAAAAATCACCAGGGAATGCTCAGAGTTTGTGCTTTCCTGATTCCATAAACCAAACCCAGCATAAGCTATAAGGTGAGTCCTATGTCTTATGCTGGGAAAGTTTACACCTCCCCTGGATGCAAGACTCTACTTGCCAGGTTTGTTTTCAACTGCCATTCAAGGTGCTATTAGCAATGATAGTGTCTTTCAGAGAGAATTAGGAGGACTTCATTTCAGATATTTTTTGTAATTAATTAGCTGTATGTCCTTGTTCAAATGATGAAATTTCTCAAGTCCTACATTTCGTTATTTGTGATATTTCATGTATAAAGATGACACCAGTAAATGTATCACCTCCAGAATCCACAGATATTTCCCACAAAAGTCTAATGGGTTACAGTGAGTTATTCACATTCTTACCCAGAAAATTTTCTCTTAATATAAGCAAATTCTAACACATGGACAGTAGAGTGAAGTTCTGTCCCTATGAAGAGCATTTATCTCTATAAAAATTTGATAAGAAAAATTATGTAGAGTGAACCACAAAACGTGGAAGTGAGATCCAAACCCTCGTTTGTGTCAACCCCAGATTTCCCCTTTACCAGTACTCTCCTGCCTGAGGAGAGGGAGAAGTCCCCAAAATGGTGAATCCCCAGGAAAGATAAATGGAAATCCTGCTAGGACAGGACATGGAATTTATGGAGAAACTAGGAGACTTTTAAAAGACCTACCAGAGACAGAGAACATAAACATTTCAGTGCCCTGGACTGGGAATGTGATGGGGTTTTGTGGCGTGCGGGGTCCTTGGGTTCACTCTGGGAAACGTTTCACCAGAGCTTCCGTTTCAGTGACACATGGCGAGTTTCCCATCCCAGGCAAGTTTCTCCATGAGACAGAGACATTAGTCATATTTAAAGAACAGGTTTATTCAGAAAGGGAAAGGGACAAGTTTGCTGAGAGAGGCCTGCATGGTTGCAGGCAGTCAGCCTTGAGGAGAGCGGCCTCCACTGAGGGAGGTCAGTGAAGAGAAGACCCAGCATGATACAGGTCACGGGCAGGCAGGAGGCTGCTGCCCTGCAGAGGGAGAGAGTTGGTGGAAAGAGGCACCTGCATAGTCACAGGTGGGCAGTGGGAGTGCTGCCCCAGCCTGTGCGGAGACTGCATTGATATAGTCCTTTTCTCTTTGGGAGGGGTCACTCCTCCGTGGAGTGGCCTGCTTGTTGCTGATGTTGGATAACAGGCAAAACTAGAAAGAGACCAGAGATTCCAGGGTGGGGCCCAATCTCCTTATCTTTCCCCTCAGGTCTGTGCTCCATTCCCTGTAGCATCTGATCCTGCTTGGGTCTCATGCCTTGTGATAAGGCACTGGTGCCTAAGGGTCACGACCTCTACAGCTGGGTTAATGGTCATGTTATTCCCCTGGACCTCCACCTCCTTGTGTGGAAAGGCCTCCTTTCCAGTTTTTCTATTCTTGTCCTCCATCAAATGGATGGTCAAAGAAGGCCATCCCTAGCTGAAAAAGCCAGGACCGCAGAGCATAAGAAAGGCTGCAGACCCAGGTTCAGCACAAGAAAACAACCTGATCCCAACATTCAGCAACCTTAGGGGTCAGACAGGAAGGACTCAGTTAGCTCTCTGACTGTTTGCAGAGATAGTGAGCAGTTGTGATTTCAAATAAGTACGAATTGGTGCTAAGTTTGTAACTTACAGCTTTGGTTGTAAACAACAGAAACTGACTCTAGCTAATTTGAATAATAATTTAAAAATATATTTGGGGAAAGATATAGAGCAATTTACAAAAAGTAAAGAGAAGTCAAGCCTTAGATGATGGAAAAGTCAGAAATAAGAGCAGCTTGGGCAATTAGACAGTTACTTCAGGTCATTCCTCAAACCACTGTCTATCCTTGGCTTAGTGTGTTCTGCAGTTAAATTGAAGACAGTATCTGCTTGGCCTGGTTATTCATGTGCTGTGTGTTTGCATGGGTGAGTACACACTCCTACATGCCCAACTGAGAGAACATGCTTCAGATGAAGTCTCACCAAGCATGGCATGCAGTGGGTGGGGGGGTTGGGGAGTGGTAGTTGTTCCCAGCAGGAGGGAAGGATCCAAGGCAAGAAGAAATAGTGGAAATCACTACAAGGTGCCAGATCAAGAATTCTGCAACACGATGAGGAGAATAAGTCTAGTGCTTTTCCAGGAACAACTCTTGCAAAGTTTCTGAGAGCTATAGTCTAATCAGAAATTAAAGAAAACCTATGTGAGCACATGAGTGTTCATGAATGGGAGAGACTCGTGAATCATATTCAGAGCAGAACTAGTAGACATCAAGTCTGGACAGTGCGACAAAATTTCTCTTGTCATCATCATCTTAAACATTTCTTGTCATGGTGGAACCCATACAAAATCTGGCTTAGCCCACTGGTGCCTCCAGAGAGAGAAAAAGAGTGGGATGTGAGATATTTAGGAGTTGGGTAATTAAAAATAATAGTAAGTCTTGCCAATGACAAGATAAAGCTGAAACAATTAACTCTGCCCCTGGAGAATAGGTGAACCCACAGCCAAATAGAGCAGGAGTCTCTCTGGAGCTTCTGTCTGTGTCCCTACGCACATTAACATTTCATGTACACATGCACACACGCACACATATACAAACACACAAAATAGATGCCATTGTCTTCAATTTCTCTCTACCTCATTTCAAGGAGTTAATTTCATGCCCTTGGTTTTCAGCATGATTCTTTTATATATTAACAAACACATTCACAATGTGTTATATGCTTTTGCATTTTTAAGACCTATTGTCTTTTATTCCAAGTGTGGAATAAAATACTTTATTGCTAAAACATAGTGAAAAGAGCATTTGATTTGGTGTCAGGGGATTTGGGTTCTTGTATTTTGGACACTCATTGCTAGACTGGTTTCCTTTTCACTCTCCATTGCTGAAGGACTATGTGAGTGGTGCAAGGTGCACATTCATTTTTCCCTCTCCTTGGTCACTCCCCTTCCCTAGGTCAGATGCTCCTCCTAAGCTGCTCTACCTTATAGGTAAATTGTATCTGCCTTTCAGGTCCAACTCAAGAGAAGGCAGTGTGGCATAGAGGAAAGGATCTAATGACCCCAGTTTCAACCCCACGTCTACCACTGCTGAACTGGAAAGTTTTACACAAATTACCTCTCCGATGCTCTCCTCCATGACCTGTAAAATAGAGAAAATAGTATCTCTCTTTTGAGAAACCCACGAAATCGTTTATGCAGAATGAAATATCCACAGTAGCCACCTGATAGCTATTATCATTATTAGTTCTTCCACAAAGCTTCCCCTGATCAATGCTTTCCAGTGATCTTTCTCTCCACACATTTGGTGCAAATTCTCTGTATCATTCAGATAGTGATCAAGTACTCTGGGCTGCTATAATGTTACCTTTCTTCTATTATGTAAAAAAATTTCCCCTGTGTGCTGTTAAAATAACTTATTTGACAATGTATGATCAGTATGCTTCTTTTCTGAGAAATGTCCTTCTCACTAAACTCTCCCATCATCTTTAAGTCCTGCGACTTAACCATGTGAATAAGGTGTTCAAAAAAAGACCCTTGTGAGTAAGAAGTTGATAATTATATCCTATGATATCCAAATCTTTGCTTTTTTTCCTTTTCAGTTTAACCCAGAAAATGTTCTTCAGGGATAAACTATTAATTTCCAAACTTGCAGTAAGCACTTACCTCTTTACTATGCAGTTAGTCACTTCTCTTTTCCTGTTATTCGTTCAATTGGCATAATCCACAGCCTGGAATCCTGTGTCCTAGGTATGCACACCATCCTCTGTGTTTCAGTTGTGCTCAGCATTGGGATTGGTTAACCTAAGAAAAATACAGAAGTAGGCAGATGTAAGAGTCAGGCTTTGTTAGCAACATCCCCCCTCCCCACCCCCTACACTCAACCTTTCACAACTCTCTAGGCACCATAGCACTCTAAGGAGTTATTGAATTAGAGTCTCATTTCATTTAGTTTCATCAAAAGTCCAGCAGCTGCTGCTTCATTTGAGTAAAAAAGCAAAACTGAGGAAGTTTAGTGCCCTAATATCAATTCAGTAAATTTAAACATAGACAATCTGGTTTTCATGAAAAGATGAAAGGGCATGGTTAATGTCTTCCTTAAGTAGGAGGGAAGTGAAATCTGAAGACTCTTTCTGCTGAGTATGCTTGTTGTCAGGTGTCTGGAAACAGATCCCTAAAAATCAAGCAAGATCAAAAGACTCATCAAAGAATCATTCATCAAAGCTGGAACTCCATGCAGTCTGTGCTAGAAACCAAGTCCTCTATCTACACCCAGGAGAATCTGCAGAAAGAGACAGTTTCACTCTTGATTATTGGCATAAATCAAATATATCCGCAAGATGGGGAGAGGAGAAAAATGCCAGATCTTGGAGAGTTTTCTGATTTTTTGAGGTTCTTAATAGCGTCTCTCTACCTCCTTCTTTCTTCTTTTCCTAGGAAGGCTTTAGCTGGCACCAAAAAATAGGCTTATAGTTCTTCCTCTTTGTAAAAGGTGACACACTGAATGCCAGCAGTGATACTACAAAATGTAGAGTTAGATCTGATTTCTATTCTGTGCACTGGCAATCAGAAGAGATAAACCACTGAGGTATAAATGAGAGAGAAGATGGAAGGCCCTGGGGAGTGATACATGCCAGTCATTTTACATTTGTTTTCTCGCATACTCCCACAAAACTCTAGGATAGTGTGCATTCTGTGCCAGTGAGAGTGATTTGCTTGTGGCAGGTACTCCAAGAATGGGAAGAAGAGAAGTTGCACTTTGTTTTAGTTATTTTGAATATCAGATGAAAAGAGAGGGAATGTGGCCCAGTCACAAAAAGGCAGAAAGGAAATGCCAGGGGATTCATTGATCCATGATGAAGGACAAAACATACCTGGCAGACAAATTTCCCACTGCATTTTCTTGCTAAGCAGAATATGCGCTATGAAGGATCAGGTTGGATATAGACTCACAGCAGACTCAATATTGCAATTAAGATTCATGACCTTCTCTGCCTGGTCTCCAGGGCCAAGTGCCAAGTGGAAAGGAACAATGGATGAAATGTTTTTCACTAAAAGATCTTGGTGAGAAAATAGATGATGACTTTTATAGACTCAAGGTTATGAGCCCAGATGTATTTTCCAATAAGGACAGAAAAATAGGAGTCAGTTTTATACATTGCCAAATATTGTAATACCATTGCCAGAAAAATCTTGTCTTAATTTTAAAAGCACTTGAGAAATGGGTTGCTACTCTGTAGTGCTGCTACCCAGATTATTTCATAGAACAAAATCCAGTGTTGCCAAATTTAAGAGAACTAAAAATTATACCAACCAATTAAGCTTTTAAGTGAGAACTAAGTTCTCTCAAATGAGGTCTTTTCATAAGGAAGCTGGATCTTTATTTCTTACAATATTTGAAACTTAGCTACCATTATCCTTGCTCTTCCACATGGTTCCTGACCCTCTTCCAGGAAGTAACAGCTGAATGCAAAATTAGGATGAGATCTTACTGGGAGGGCAGCAATACCAGGAAGACTATTTCAGGGAGTAGTCCCTCCAGCAAGTATATCTACACACTTCATGACAACAGTGGGAAATGTTCCCAGCAGACTTGCCACCAGCCACCACAGAGGGAGAGGTGGGGGAAGTCACTGCCTGTCAGACAAACAGTTTTTACTTTGTGGTTTCTTAGGAAAATAGTACATACCCTTTCTGCTTCCCACTGAGAGTGAATTACTCTTGCCTGCGCTCAAGCAGAGAAAGGCTGACTGGGCTGGGAGCACTCAGCTACAGCCTATTAAACTGAAGTTGCCTTAAAGTTGGTTAATGACGATAAAAACTGTTTCCATCTAGCTCTATATATCTAAGTTCAGATACAGGAGATCAAAGTTTGTGCACAAAAATGTTTTCATTTTGACTATGTTGCTGACTTGATATCTAAAAACTCCAAAGACATGGAGATAAAAAACAAAATACAACTTGAAAATGATTAAATCTGTATCCTATGAGAGTTAAAATGTATGCATATTTGTTCACACACCCACAAACAAAATTACTTTCCCAGTGGTCAAACCATGTACAGTGTAGTGAGGTAAAGGAGGTAACATACCTTGCCTCCCACTCTATGTCATTATCGTTGATGTTTAGCATTTACACAGCTCTGCACTTTTGATTGTTCTTTATAAGCATTCCTAGCAGCTGGCCCTCAGGAGTAACCTTCTTTAAAGTTCAGGTCAGAGAATGCCAGTTTGCAAATGAGACACATAGAGGCCAAATTATTTTTCTAACATCTTGGATCAAAAAAAAAAATGTTTAAGTACATATTTTTAAAACTGAAAATAAAATATATCACTATCATAGCCCTTGTCCTAATTTTCATAGTCAGTTAGGTCATTTCTACTAGAAAAAAATTCAGACTCAAACTGTAACAATTTTATTATTCAATTTCTGGTATGTCTGTCTTTATTCACTATTGCAATTGGTTTAGTTGCTTCTAAGATGAGTTTTCTAATATGAAATAGCATTAATACAAAAAGACTTGGAAGTATCCTATCTAATCAGTCTTAGAAAAATCTGGTTTTGTTCTTATTTGCCTTTATATTCAAAGGTCATTTCTATATCTTAATTGTCTCAGTCAACTGCCTCATTAATGCTGGCATATTTTTAATCATTGTTTAATTATTTTAGATAAGAGTTGGTAATTGTATATGCCCCATCACACTTTTTAAAAGACAAAGAAACAATTTTACTTTAACTTAATATTAGTGGAAAGTAGAAACAGTAAAGAAACAGAAAGCAAACTTAACATGATACGCCCTGAGCAGTCAACTACAAAGCACTATATAAACATATGTTGGTGTTGATGGTGGTAGTGGAGATGATGATGGTGGTGGTGATAATTATGAGGAGAAGAGGAAGGGAGGAAGAAGAGGAGGAGGAGAGGACACTTGTATTCATAGAGAAACACCAAACTTCATTTCTGATCCTTAGTTTAAATCACATAGGCAATCTGTCTTGTCTAATCCCAAACTGGTTTTGAAAATGTTGGCAGCCTAGTTTGGAAGTATAATCTCCTATTTGGAGATAAACTGACCACATAACTTGTATTTTCTTTTTCTTTTTTTTTTTTTTTGGAATGACAGGAACAGTCATTGATCTATTCTTTGATCTTAGAATTTAAATGACAGAAAGACTCAGAATGTCATAAAATCTAACTGAAAATAGCCTGGGACTAACTTGTTCATTTCTCAAGCAACAGACCCTGAAAACATCTGGTTCATTTTCAGAATCAGAACATCCAATAAACTGCAGTGACGTTAGCCATGTATAAAATGTGAACATTTTGAACTCAGATTACAACCCATTAAAGATTTCCTGCCTGAAATTATGCAGCAACCATGAAAACAAGCACCAACTCATGTACTTTGGACCTAGAAAATCAGACAAAAAGTTGCAAACAGCCAACTCTAGTTTCTTTCTTTGCACTCTTCCCATGAGTATTTGTACTTAAATGGAAAGCAAAGAGCACTTCACCACTTTCAGATGCCCTCCTCCCTGGTGTAACACCCATCCCACCTTTACCTCCCTAAATTTCTGGTACGTCTGTCTTTTATATTCAAAGGTCATTTCCAGATCTTAATTGTCTGAGTCAACTGCCTCATTATTGCTGCCATTTTTTAATCATTGTTTAATTATTTTAGATAAGAGTTTCACTACCCCAACCACTCCCCCCACTCCCAAACTTTATATAGCTTAAGTCACTTACTCTGAATAACCGGATAACTGTCTGATCAACCAGCTACTATTGAGATATGGGTAGTAAGACTATGTAATGTGGTGAAAGAGCTACAGACTGGAGTAAGACTGCCTGGGTTCAAATCTCAGCTTAGCCAGTTTCTAGCTTCTTGAATTTGGACAAGTTACTTAACCTCTGTGTCTCAGACAAAACTGGAGTGACAAAATTGCCTCCCCGTAAGCTATCACAAGGATTGAATGAGTGACTATATGCAAAGTATGTGTGTGGGGGGATAGTATTTAGAACATAGTAAGCATTATACAAATCTAAGATGTTTGTCATTATTAAGGACAAATATTGAACAACCTCACTGATGTCCCAATTCTAAAAATATACTCTGCTTCTCTCTAGGCAGACAGGCAACTTTCTGAATACCCAAGGGACCCTTACAATTCTCTGGTCCCCCTTATACCCCGGATGGACACAGACACCAAGTCCTCTACTACAAGTATTCCCTGGACTCTATCCATCTAGCAGCCACTTACTTACTTCCTAAACAACTCCTCTGACCTCTACCATTCTCAGTTGACTACAGAATGAACAGAGATTAGAGTGAATTTTCACAGTCCATTACAGGGTTCTACATAAACACTTGGCCCCTCTCTTCCTCATTGGCCGAAACATCATTCAGTTCTTCTTTAACCAAATTCTATAGTTTCCTTAGAGGGTGTAGTGTAACAATTCCCTTTAAGACTGCTTTCCTCTCTGAAGAGCCCTAATCACTCCCTCTTCTTCCCAAATTTCCTGCAGGTGGAAATGTAAATCCCTGTAGGAATAAGCAGAGGTCAATGGAGAAATAATCTTGGGCAAATTTGTTTTGATTTATTTATCACTGTGAAAGCATTGTTCTCATGTTACACTTCTGACCTGTTTCTGAGGATGCTCACATCACATTTACTGCTTGTGTTTTTTTCTATAAAAGGAACCAGAAAAAAGATAGCAGCCAGGAATGGTAAACTTGTCAGCCTCAGTTTGAAAACTGACTTTTAGGATATTTTTCAATGCAAAGATTGGAGAGAAGACATCAATATGCAAAGTGCAGACAATGTTCCACTTACTAAAACTTAGTGACAGGTTAAAAAGCCCGTTAGTAAACCAACTCTATAGCTTCTAATACATGACATATCTTCTGCCATGAGGAGGAAGTAGTAAAAAAGTTTTTGAAAATGAGATCTTGGGACCTTCCAGGATTCACAAAATCCCTCATTATAAATTTTCTTTTAATTTTGTAACCTTATGACAATTATGTATTTAAAAAATAGTGTAAGCTTTACTTTCAACTGAATATCAGTATTCCCCCAAATCCGTGTATTGAAACCTAATCCCCAGTGTGCTGGTGTCTGGAGGTGGAAACTTTGGAAGGTGACAGTTCAGGAGGGTGGAGCCCTTGTAAATGGGATTGGTGCCCTTAAATGGGCCTCAAAGAGCTCTCTTGCTCCTTCTGCCACATGAGGACACACAGCACCAAGAAACTAATCCTCATCAGACATTGAATATACTGGTGTCTCAACCTTGGAATTTCCCAACCACTAGAAGTGTGAGAAATTAATGCTTGTTTTTGATAAGCTACTCAGTTTATAGTATTTCATTATAGCAGCCCAAATGGACTAAGACTTTCTTGATTAAAAGTTTCTTAAATCTGAAAATCCACTAAAGACTGATAAATCAATAAAAACATTTCACTCTTAACAAAACTATGAGTGTTTGTATCTTGTCAGTGAAATAAGAAATTAGGTCACGAGCTGAGAGTAAAGAGGAGAGGTAGGGTGCTGGAGGTGGAGGCAAGAGGAGAAGGTATGATGATGAACTAGGAGGGAATAAATCGACTAAGGAAGTGCTATCAATTGGCTAGTCAAATAATCCACTTGAGGTTTTTAGTGATGAATTTTTAGCGATAGAGAAAGAAAGGGGCAAGGGATTGAGGGTTTATGCAAGGGAATTGGAGGAAAGTGAAGACATAGGGGAGGTAATGACCAGTGCAAAGTGATAGAGTCAAAGGATTGGAGGTTAGGTAGAAGAGGGCTGGAGGGAATGAGATGGACAAAGAGACAGTGGCAGACATCAGAATATTTAAAGCGGAGATTATGAAGAGGATAAGTTTCCATGAACATTCTCATTGTCTGCATGGTTTCTAAGCTTCAGTGAATCATATTTGCTATTGCCCAAGAAGACTGCACAAATGCCAATAAATGTGGTTCAGAAAGTCTCCTCCTTCCTTCCTCTCTCTTCCCCCTTCTCTCTCACCTTGCCCTCACTCCTCTCCCATCCCATAATCCTGAAATGGAATATAACTGCTCAAATGTGAATTCTACTGAAACATACTAAAACCAATGCCTAATGAAGAACATCTTCCCATCACACTGAAGATGTAGAGAAAACATAAAAAGAGCAGGTTGTTGATAGAAGCTAAAAGGAAGAACACAAGAAATAGTTGTCTCTGACATCTAAGCAAGCCTGATGCTGGGTGTTTTTAGATTTATGTGACTGATAAATAATACAAGATTCCCTGTCGAGGACAAATCCAAGTGAAAAACAACCAATTGAGAAAAGAGGTATGTGGTTAGTAATATCAACTAGAAAGGCTAAGCTAGCCTGAAATTCAAGATATCAAATAACTATTTTCAGCTATAAAATTGTACCCTGGGCAATTAAATTGCTTTCCGACTACCTTGCTTCTCTCTTTTTGAAAAGCCCTAATGGATTTAAATCTTTATTCAGGTAAACTGAGGGCCCTCTTCTCAAGGAAGAAAAGTTTAAGCCATTTTTTTGTATTAATAAGAGATAATCCTGGAATATTCTTTTATTTAGAAAATTCTCTTTCTGTTTTTCAAAACCTTTCCATTTTCCTTCTCATTTAAACATTTCAGCAAAATTCTTCTCCACCTGTGGTTTTTCCAAGTAGTCAAGTATTTGTCAAAGAAGGTTGACTTTTCCCTGGGCATGATCTGACATCAAAAGTGAAAATTAATACCCATCCACTTTTTAACACTAAACATTAAACATTTTGGTATTCATATTTAACAGAAGATTAATGAAGTGCAAATGACTAATAAAATATATGAAAATATGTTCAATATCACTGGAATGCATTTATTTAACTCATATAGAGTTTATTATGTGCCAGGCACTGCTGTAACCACCAGATGCCATTCTAAGTCTTTAGAAATATTAAGTCAATTAACCCCAATAATAATTCCATGTGACAAGTACTAGAATGTTTCCTATTTTCTAGGGGAACAATGGAACTGAGTCACAGAGAAGTAAAGATACTTCCTAAAGTCACACAGCCAGTAAGTGTCACAGCCTGACCAAAGGCCAGGCTTTTAGATGCTGTCATGCAGTCTTGCCAAGGAAGTGCAAATTCAAGTAAAATGCCA